AAAAATTAATATTCATCATTTTTATTACCTTTATTATTACAAAATTTTTTCATATGTTCTGGAAATCGAATAATTCGTATTCAAATTCATATAATATAACAATAAAACAATGATAATTTACAATGGAACTTTCACCGCTGCTCATATCATAACATTGTTTACATACAGTTGAAAAAATACATTATATATATCTCAGTGATTATTATTGACTTATTCGGGTAAATTTAAGAGTAGAAAGCGAAATGAAAATAAATAATATATACCCTGCAGAATGAGGATGTGCAACCAATGTTGATAGTATCATATAAAATGCAAATCATTGGCTGAATCGTTTAATCAAACCTTCGGTATTTATTCTCACTACCATTAATTTCGTAGTCTCAATTAATATTTAAATAAACAATAAATGAACTATCTCTATAGGTACTGTATTTTAATAACACTGTAAATGAAAACCACTGCTGAGAGTATTTTCAAATTAAAATAACAATTTAAAAACCATAAAAGTACTGGTAACTCTCAAACGCATATTGTCATTATAATGGATGTATTAAATTTAAATTCAATAATACAATATATTGAACATAAGATGATTTTAGGCAGAAATAGTCTATTAGACTATATTTTTATGATTATGTATTAAAATTGTATTCTATTATCAATAAATAGAGTGAATTTGATTAATTTTCACTAAAACAAATGACATATTTTGCATATTCATGCTTAACTTTTTTTATAATTTCTAGAAATGAAGACCCTTTAAAGATTTTGGATTACATTTTCAAAACTTTAGTGGTAAATTCAAATATTTTATAAGATTTCAACTACAAAATAATTTGCAAAAATTTGTAATTTTGACAAATTTTGAACAATTGTAAAACAAATTAGGACTATTTATTATTGCATTATATTTTTAATATCTATAGTTAATAATTTAATTCTTTATTCAATTTTTAAACTTTTTGACTTTGTAAAAAAATGTATTAATTTAAATTGAAAACAAATTGTAATCTTAGAATTACTTAAAAATAGTTTAAAAAGAGTAAAAATATTGAAAATTATTCAAATTTAAATAATAAAGCTAATATAAATGTTTAAAAAAATATAAAGTATTTGCAGTTATTTTTTTTTTAACATTAAAGTAAAAATACAAAATCAATTTTTTGTAAATTGGTATTTTGTTAATATTCTTTTTTTTTTTTTAACTTAATTTTTTGATTTTTCCCATAATTTTTAAAAGACAATATTCCATTTGTATTACCTAAAATATCAACAAGATCCAATTTCTCACCAAAAACTACCCAAAACACGTTGAGGTGCAAATAATATTAACATATCGTATAAAATAAAAACACACATCATTATATACTATTAACATTAATACATGCATAACTCCACTCAAAATCTAAAAGCTAATAAAAGAGTCTACAGTGAAGTTTTAGTATAATTTAATCAAATCAACGTTATTACATGTAGTAGAGATACAAATAATTCGGATGATTTGTATATAATATTTGATTATTTTTTATAATTGTATAACTTTGAATATTAATTAAATTCAGATAAATCAAAAATATAACCACATACTGGCTTAAACTCTATCCACTCAGACGCAAATACGAAGTGACTATAAACAGACTATACGTATAGATCACTCAAATATATCCCATAAATATCTTTAAACAAAGAGAAGAACCAAAACTGTGTCAAACCTACAGAAAACCTCTTATATTCAAACAACTTCTTATGCACTGTCGAAACAATGTGAAAACTAGAAAATGCCAAGCAATACCTGAAAACCTTTTGGAAGCTTTTAACCCAATCTAAAACAAAATCAACAATTTTATCTCATTTCTTAAATATACCGATATGTATAACTTAATCTAGGGAAATTCAATGTATTTATTCATATGAAGCTAATAGTCTTAAGTTTTTGATGCTGCGCGGAGGTCTAAGAATAATAATAATAATAATAATAATAAAAAATATATATATAAATATCAGTAGGTATAAATAAAAAATAGGTAACTAATATTTAAATAAAATTTTTAATAGTTTCATGTAATTATATTAATTATTCGGTTTATTTGAATTTTTGTTGTCACAGAACAAATTATGTATAATTTAATCATGTTTTGAATAGTATCATATCATTTCTTAAATGTAAATACTTATAATTGTCATAATAAACTTATCACAAAATTATTTTTTTATTTTTTTTTTTTTTTATACATTGAAACAACCTTATTGGTTTCTATCAATAGCTTTTCACTTGGGAAGCGTATATAATACATTGCTACCACACCCTTCTTTAAGAAGAGAATTTTCACTTATGTGGACGTTACTCCCAGTGGAGTAGGTACAGCTTGGCAGGGTGGAGCAATCGGAGCAAAGGCGGGAGTGAAACTATGAAGTAATAATTTTTTTTGCACAGGTTCGAATCGACGATTACGCGTGTCATGGCTAGCTGTGTTACTATTACACCACACTGTCCACACAATATATAAATAATTTTATTAATAACTAATTAAGTATAACATGCCACTTTTTATGTTATTTAAGTTATTATAAAATAACAATCTTTACATCATATTTATAAAAATTTAGAGTAGAATACTTTATTGTTCAACGTCATGATATATCTTTAAAGTCTTTACTATTAGTAATATTTGTTAAATTACTAATTGTTTAATAAATATAATATATTTAAATTGTATTAAAAGTTATATAAACTTGTTAACTTAATTATTTACTAATTTATAAATTTAACATGCTAAGATTTAGTACCTTAACTAAAATAAATTATAGTGTAACCCAAAGTTTAATATAAGTTCAATAATTATAGTCAATTAATTATAATTTATAATTAATTTTTAAACCGTTGCATTGGTTTAATTTATTTGTAAAGGTTTGATAAAAATAAGAAGAATCGTAATAACAAAATATGCTAAAAGGGTCTTAAAAATTAAATTAAATAAAACTAATTAAAATATCTACACTTTAATAATATTGTCATGTAATATAAAGCAATCGCTATCCGGGTAAACAAAAATGAATTATAAATCATTTTTGACAGGGTTAAAACTTCTATCCAAAATCCAACGAAATAACTTTATTTGCCGTTGTTAAATATCGATCCATGTCCATTATAAACGCACAGGAAAATGCACCAGTGAATTTTCCAATGACAGCCTTGTCTCTAACAACGAATTAAAGTATATAATATGGGCACTGTATGGGGTGATCGTAAACAAAAGTTTTTTGATAATATTATATTATATTGTGTAAGGTACTACTTATTATTTTACTCTCGTCCTCCGCTGGTTCACTTGTCAAGGGTTAAAACTGTAACCAAAAGTTCTTATTGTTTCTCTGATGGTATTTGATAAATGCGTCGAGCAAGTTGCAACCATACGCGAACAGCATCGATCATTTATATATTCTTTAGGTTGACAACAAACGTTTTGTCTTAAATTTAAAATATATTTTATAAAAAAAAAAAAATGATGTAGTATAATTATATTTTCATTTTTACCTAAGAAATGTTTATTTCAAAAGAATGAATTGGTTTATTATACTTAGATTATTTTTGCATGAAATTTTTCAGTGAAAATATTCAAATTATTCAAAAGAATAAGCAGTATTTATCATATAATATTTAAAAAAGAAATAAATAGCTTAAAAATGTCCAAAAATTAAAGTTGTGTAAATAATAATTTTATTCGATATTCAATAACATAGAATAATTTCGGTACTATTTATAACAAACAAAATAGAACATTTTATAAAAGCTTGATAAATTGTCATAAGAAACTAAAATTTATAATTAAGTATTATTGAAGTTAATTTAAAATATATTTTTATAGATAATAAATCACTTTACATGCTCATCTCCATTTGTTTTATTTTTTTTCTTAAATAACACATTGAGTTAAGATCTGATCTTTGGTAGTTTTAAGTTTATTTGATGATCATATTTTCAGAGGTATTATAATATTAAAAAGTGTTCTGTGATGATTCAAACTATTTTTATTCAAATAACTACTAGCCTTTTTTTATAGTAAATTATTTAGAGGATGATTGTTATTTAATATTGAAATTTATCAAAACAAAAATTGTAATGCGTAGTTTATATGATTTTAAAATATATTAAAGATAATAGTCTTTAAAAATGAATGGTATTACTAAAACATAAAATTTGATAAAATATTATAAATAATTCTAGCTATAGAATATTAATTAATATAATTTCAAAATCATTATAGTTTCTATATCCATCGAATCTATGTTATCGTGGAATTATCATTTGTATACAAAGTTAAATGTTACTCAAAACTAATCTTACGAATTAAATAAAATTATATAAAATTTAGAAACCAGTCTACACTACCTAAAAATTAACAGATTCTGACTTTAAAAAAGTACTCAGTATTTCTGCAGGGTATCTTAAATAATATACGAAATGTTATCATTTAAAAATAGGTTCTATTATTTAACTCAAAGATTCAAGTAATTGTTTAAAAAAATAATTTTACTAATAAAATCAAAAATAGATTGGAATTAATGAGTAATCTATTTAAATTGTACTTATATTTATTAAAATACAGTATTTCAATAGATGTTAAGTTACAATTTCAGCACTATATAGAAATCTGAATCAAACTAAAATATTTGTCATAAATTAAAAATAATACAAATTTTTTTTTTATACAAATATATTCAACTTGATTCATAAAATATTGAAATTGTATTTCTTCAATTTACTTACTTTATTTTAAATGATTTGATTTTACATAAAATACATCATTCAAAAAGGAGCTAGGAGAACATAAAAACTTAATCAGTCTACGTTATATTATGTATCAAACCGTTTTTATAAAAAAACTACAAATAATATTTTTGTATTTTAATAAAGTAATTAAAAAGGTCTTTGCGTGACTATAAGATTCATAAATTATTATCAATAAATATATATATATATATATATATTTACAACTTACCATTGATAAATAGTGCAACTAAGAACAAATTTGGTACCATTTCCCTGAAACGCACGAAGGTTATCCGCCAAGGATTATAAATGTAATTGAACAGCTATAGTACTAGTGATAAGCATCGCGATCTCAGATCTACCTGAAACAAAAAAAAAAAAAAAAAAAATACATGTTTATTGCCTTTCTACTAAAAAAAATATATAAATATATTTTATTCTTGTTCAAAAACGAAAGCAAAATATCGATTAGGTAAAATGTATTGATTAGTTTAAGTTAACAGTTCTTAGTATTAATGTGTATTAGTATGCCAATTGTACACAATATACTTTTTACAAGTTTTATTTTAACGCTATTGTTTGAAAAGAAGAATTTTTCTTTTAACGAATAAAAATTAATGATATCAAATAAAACAAGATATACTGACGTGACACTATATAAGAGAAAAATCTGTTCCAGGAAAAAAAATAAGTCATGAAAAAGATTGGAGAGTTTTCAAAAATTTGTATTAAAGTAAAAAGTAAGTATATAAATTATAATCATAATATTATTTATAATAATTTAGTTTGTTAAAGATAATTAATTTTATTTCGAAAAAAAAAAACAAGAACAAATGATAAAACAGATATTTGATTAAAACACCATAATATCTAATTGAATCACATTAAATAAAATTCAATAACTAAAATGCGTTTACAATAGTTTTTGTTACGACAAAAAAAAACATAGTATATAATTAAAGTACGCATTATTTTTCTCAATAGTTTAATTAGTTTCTATTTGATGTTTATTTGTCTTAAATACAATTTCATTTCAGAAAACTTTTTTTTTCTTGGATAAAAAATAATACTATTTAACATTTTAGAGTGTAGACTAAATATCATATTGTCATTACTTTTTTTTTTTATAAACATAATACCGTATTTTTTGATTATATTAAAATGATTATTATTATTTTATTAAAAATTAATTAAAATTTTATTTATCGAGTCACAAAAATTTACAAACCGTTATTATCTATTATGTTGTAATAAATTTAAAAAACTTCAATTTTCATAGTTATGCTTTGAAAATCTAATGCAATGTTTCTCACAAAAGTTCATACTAGAACTAAAAAATTAACTATCTCGATTATGTTTTATAGATATTTTAAGTTAAAATATGAACCAAATAACATATTTAAACGATGTAAATCATTTTGTTATAATTTAAAAACATTATTCTTAAAATTTTATACTTACATTATAAATTTTACCAAACGTTAAGATATTTTCAAAATATTTATATTAATTTTAAAGTATTATCTATTTACTTTTTACTATAAATCAATTCACATTGTTTTATATTATTAACTTGAAAATTAAAATTTAAGAATAAATTACTTTAATAGCAATATCAAAAAAACATATCTATCACTGAATGCAGAGACACAAAAGAGGCAAGACAAAAATTCAACATACCGGAACACCTTCACGACGCACTGGGCCCTGACGAAAAATCCATCCAAAACATAATTTTATTTTTGAAAGATACTGAACTGTACAATTTAATTTAAGTCATCATTAGATGTAAAAATAAGCCAATGGTCACGTTATCGAGGCTTTAAAAATTAAAAAAAAAAAAAAAAAAAAAAACATATCATTAAATTTACTTAGTGATATAGGCATAAAGACTATCTACCTATCTTCACTTAGAGTTATTAAATACCAATTATCAGATTTAGTTTATTTAAAAACAATTATTATTTTGTTCCAAATTTACGATGGGTTTAAAGTAATGTTAATTTTTTTATTTTCCAAATTTCTCAATTTTCATTTTTTTTTCTGATCTCAACTAATTATACTTTAAAGTATATTCCATATTCGATTTCAATAGGGTTCTACATAAACTGTGTTTATATAGTAGTATAGTACAATATGACCAATGAAAAAAAATATTAATCAAAATAAAACGAATAAAATATTATATTAAAATTATAAGTAATAAGTAAGTCATTCGTTCTGCTCAAAATTTAAAAAAAATATAGTTAATCTTTCTATTGAGTGAGTATATTTCACTATTTTAGTACAGTATTATAAAGTGGTTAGAAGATTTTAAGTAAATTTTATTTTAAATAACTGATCATTGAAGTGGACTTTTTTATATTTCTTAACTAATATAAATTATTACCATTTACTTAAAAAAGTTTTTTGTACCTATAGGCTATAGTTATAAAATAATAATGATGTAAATAATTATGTATTAATGTATACATTATGTTAACTAATCGCATGATCAATTTTATTTTAACTGTAATAATAAATTGTATTTTACAGTCAAAGTTTTTACATGCATTATTGAAGAACCATATTATAATAATTATTTGTGATAGCGCATTTTATATATAAAAATAAAATAATATGTTTCACAAACACATGTTTTAGATTACCACGATGAAATAATGTATACGTAATCATAGCAAATTTAAGCCGTTAAAGATCTTGAATAAAATATATATTTATCACACCACTGTTAAATTATATATTTAAATGTAATTCAATATTGTTAAAGTTAATGCTGTTATCTGCCAGAATCTCCTTGATTGATTTCGTAATGCCTTAGGAAGTAGTGTGTTATTGATCATAATTTATGCAGACCGTGGTTAATGCGTTGTATTGTTAACGGTACTTAGCATATGATTTGAAATGATGACTCAAAAACAAACTAAACTTTGTCTGAAAACATTGTTGAGCACGCGTATACTCTAGTGTTCAATAAATTACGAAAACCAATATTATTATTTAACGTATAAAACATTTCAAAAATAAAAAAGTGAAAAATCGTGTAAATATTATGTAAAGCTAACGGCCCTTGCGCTTGAAACTAGTGTTAAATAATAATAATAATAAAATTAAAAAATAAAGACCGTTTGCAATTTATTGTTTGACTAGAGAATAGCGGCCATCGAAAATCATTGTAAATTTGTAACACATTTATCTTATCGCTTTGTTTGTATATCGTTAAGCCATAATACGGTTAGCCGCCCAACAAATGTTTAACGATCACGCGTGAACCGTCCGTCATTAACTGTAATTCCTGTATGCACATATTGGATTTGTAATTTTTTTTATTATAAATAAATTGCTATTATCTAAATTAATATATACTAATTCGGTTTGGTACATTTATTTTTCAATTTAAATTTATGGTGCACTGTATAACATAATATAAATATTTTACAAATTTAAAACGTACTAATGTGTTTAAATTAAATGAGTACAATTTAAAAAGATAAATAACTATATGTTAATACAGTAAACACTATATTTTACAAATAAAAAATGTCTATAAAATATAATATGATAATTGATAGTAATTATATTTTGCTTTTAAAAATATACACATTATACTATCCATGACTTTTTTGTTTTAATTAATGTTTATAAAATATATTATAATAATGTCTTGAAATAACAACATGAAATAAATCGATAATTTTATTTTGGTTAATAATCTTAACTCTTAAGGAGAGGTTATTTGTTTTTGTGTTATTTTACATGGATATACAAAGGAAATTAAAAAAAAAATAAATAAAAATAAAAACGAACTCATAAGTTATATGACTGTATTTTTATAAAAAGTACTTTTTTTAAATCTACGAGTATATTTATTTATATTTAACTTGTAACATTAATAGTTAAAATATTGATTGAAACCATACTTATTAGTTTATGTAGAATATAAATGATCGTATTCAAATGGTATATTTGGAAATATTTTATCGAATTAAGTATTATCTAAAAATGTTGTGACAAATAACAATAAAAAAATATAAAATTTCTTTGAAATTTATGTTATGTACTTTAATAGTACGTATAATAGCCAATAAAATATTATTATTTATGATTCTTTTACCAATAATATTGTAATGATATAATAAGATAAACCATTCTTTTCAAAAATACCTTGGCATTAATGTAAATTTTTTAAAATATTTTTGAATAATTTGTTTCATAAAATGTTATTTTTGTTTGATTATAAACCATAATAAACAATAATAAATATTTTATTTAATTATTTTATCAATGAACGTAACATTATTACACATCAAACATCAAACAACACAATTTACAGTTGAATTATTATAATTATATTAACGGCGCACAAATCTATTACGTGAAATTACTGAGCTTTGCACGTTCAATTGTATTATTGAAATATCTCTAACTCGATAAGAACATTGGTTAGTATCACTATACTTCTTATTCAACTGAGAATCCCATACATATAAAAAAGTATTTTATTTTTTATTCAATCGACAATGATATGTTCTCGATTTCTAGAATACAGCACGATTCGATATAAAATCAGTATTTGTATTATATTCTGCAAGTCTCATTCATGATTTTTCATGATAAGGTAACACATACGAATTTTTTATATTCCTGTTTTTCGTATACATATATAATAGCATACAGTTTGGCACGTTGTGCAAACTTTTTATCTTGTACATTATACGGTGTATAGTGACGCCGTAACTACTGATTATAAGAAAAGCATTTTACTATAAACAATATAATATATCTAATAGTTGGTTACGTTGTATTATTGATTTTTTTTAATACGATTTTAATTGTTCGATTATTGATCAGGATTCAAAACACAGTCATTGTTTATATTTTTTTAATATTAATCATAAGCTTTGTAATAATCAATAAATTAACTGGGAAGTAGTTGATAATAATTTAAAAAAATATTAATATTAGCTCCAATTGAAACAACTTAATTGTAATTATAAGTACCTTCAAAATGTGTGAATAAATTAGAAATATTCCAAAATAGTTGTAGCAAATTAAATAAATAAAAAAAAAAAATTAGATCTGTTCGTAACTTTAAACTTGAATTAAAATTTAAGATAAATCTGCTTTAGTGCCATTTCAGGAAATATTACAGTAATATGGTGACATAGAAATAATATAATTATTAATTGTGTACCCACGTATTTATTCGTTTATTCCTTGTTTACAATTATTTTCGATTCAATAAATTTGTTTTCGTTTTCATGTCTGTTAATTGTTATTACCAATATTTAATAATTCATCATCTGATTATCTGATATACTACAAGGTACAATGTAAATAAACACTACAAATTTACATATTTACGTATTTGTGTCATTTTTGATTTGTTCGTTGATGTTTGACATAATTTTGCACATAGCTTCCTGAATTTCTGAGTCATTACACTAACTCTAATGACTAAGACCGTAATTTCACAAAATAATTATTTTTCCAAATATATGTATTTAATTAAACCGTGTATCGATAATACTTCACACAACTTTATAATGTAGACTCAATAAAACTGTCAATGATTATTGTCTACTTATTGTTTTCAAAAACGGTATTGTTATAAACTTTTCTGAAACATTTTATTACTTATTAAGGCTATTTAATGAAATTACCGTTGTTCAAACAATTACAACAGTTGTCTTCATGGTCGATGCATAGGTAATTTAAGTGATATATATATATATTATAGATACCTAAGTAATGGGTTGACTGTGTTCAAATTACGATGTTTCACAGTATCCATTAAATATGCGGTAATCGATTTTTGACCAAATTGTCCGTGTGTTTTCATTAATAATTTAACTGTGAATGTTTTTTCATGTCCAATTTGTCATTTAGACTATTTTAAATGATTTTTTCATGCTACTGATGGTAAAATAACTAATCGCGTTTCTCTTAACAAAGCTTAATATTACCAATATGTTAATTTCCAATTCTTGGCCTTATTGTGTACATTTGACATAACATTTGTATGTTAAAATATTAAAATTAATGACAATGTCTTTTACATATTATCAATAATATTTTACCATTGATAACTTCTTTGTTGTCGTTTAAAAAAATTGCTAAATATTTTATAATTAAATACCAAAAAAATATCTTGTTTTCCTTATAATATACCTAATTTGATCTGTCTAGATTTAAACATTTTAAAATATATTGTATAATATTTTAAAGTTTTCCAGTTATGCCAAAGTGAAAATTTATTTTTAAAGTATAGTCCAAGGTTTATTTATTTTTGTCATACATACATATATTGGGATATATGATTATATTCATCTAACTTTTAAGAATCGATCAAACTCATCGCCATTTTTCTTTTTTCATTTTGAAATAAAGTAGGTATTGCAATATTTATTTTTATAGTATAAAAACTTTTCTAATGAATAAAATGGATATTGCTTGTTTTATTTCGTGTCTCAAACAAAAATGCGATTTTGCTAAAATGTAGTAATTTCCATTCTACTCAATTACGTTTTCTGTTTATTTAGATATACTCTTGGGTTTTATGGTTTTTGCGTAAGTATAATTTTTACAAACATTTTTTTGCCTTTTTTTAAGTTTATATTGTTTATAGCTGGGCAGTATTAAGTTATCAATGATAATTCTATATCGATATAATCCATATGTAAACTGCTAAATTTGTCATACAATATTCCCAAGAGTTCCATGAACTGCTTTTCATTATTAATAACTATAACCAAATACGTCAATTATACTTAATCATGCATATCTATATTTAATGAAAGACTTGATATTCTTTTTCAAAATCAGTAAAATGTTTGGAATTCAATAAATAAAATAATATTTTTGTTTTCGAGTTTTTTACTTTATAAAGATATTATAAAAAATATAGACATTATAAATTTGCCGTTTATATATTATCATTTTAATATATATATGGTATATATAAGTAGATGTCGTATTCAATTTGTTGTCTCAACCTTAAAATACCCATAGCATTGCAAATTCATCGTATCCGATTCTTATATTAGTTTATTTATAGTTAATAATAGATAAATTTTAAATATTATCAAATTTGCTCTAAAATTGAAAAATTATAAGCTGTAGTAAGAATTGGAATACTACTTAGTTTCTCTATATTATACTTAAGCTAAATGGATGTATTATAACAAAAGAATATGGCACCCTATCATTAATCATTTAATTAATTCATAATGAAACGATAATTATTATTCATTAAACTATAATAATCATAATGTACAATGATATATCTTTTTATGACTTTAGACATTCTTCTACGTCATTATAAGATATAATATTTTTGTCAAATTATTAGTGGAAATAAATTTAATGAAAATTATTCATAACAAGTTAAGTGCTGTTGTTCTAATATCGTTACAGAATCAACTTAACATAATATTAATGCATTATAATTAACCCTATTGTGTCCATCAATTGATTATTTGTAACGTTAAAATAGATTCAACGGATCAACTATAATATTATATATATATACAAACAGTACAGCTTATATGAACCAGCAAAAAAACAGGAAATACACAGTATTAAAATTTGATATGTTTAAATAAATCTATTACATCCTTGGCCAAATGGTCTATTTTATTCATGCAAATTTGATAAGATGAGAAAGTAGTAACGTCATAATCTTATCAACCGTTCGATATGAATATAAAGTTGTTCCGTTTTACTTAATTTTACGTCTGAAAATCCGAGATAATAATATTATGTTTGACGAAAATGATTTCATGATCATGTTATAGACTATATTATATATTATGCAACCATGGCAAAATTTAAACAATGTTTGTAAAAAAAAATTTTAACTCAAAAAGTATAATCTAAACATTAAAACAATAACAGAATCTCTACAATTGGGAATATATATTAGCAATTATATAAATACAACGAAATAAAAAGTTTTATTTGTAAGCTTTTCACAATAATAAAATAAAATATGTTATTATTTTGAGTTTATTATCAGTTCATAAAATTACATTTTTAAGTTTATTCTAATTCAAATAGTTGAAAGTTTAATGAACTTAATTTCAAAAAATAATTATATTAGTTTTATTACTTTATCTAATCTATATTTTATATAGTTATTAAAATTAACCAATGTTTTTTTTTTTTTAAAACAAACTCTTAAGCGTTCAATATTAAACTTATTTAATCTTTCAATACGGTCAATGAGACATTTATAATTTAAAGACACGCGTCACTTAAACATAACATTATATATATATAAATCCATAAAATAAAACAGTTATTGTGATAAAAAAAAAAAAAAAAAAAACATTAAATTATCAATATTTTTTTTTTTTTTTTTGATACAAGAGCAAAGACCGTGTAAATATTTCACGTGTAAAATTGATTTTTTGTATTACATAAAATAATATTTGATGAAACAACAGATGGTTTATATAATAACAAAATCCTATAAATACTTAAATAAATAAAAACCAATATTACGATAGATTATTTATCTATGAGGTATTAGGCAATGATAAAATGTTTTTAACCTGTAATACATTTTTGATTATTATCGTTTTATAATTTATTTCTCAGTGTCTTAGGATCGGACAGAGAGTTTTATGAACATATAGAATATTTTGTTTTGTCTGCAGTGGTGATGCGTATTGCTCATATTTTGACACATCCGTGGTGTGTACAGTACATTTGTGGCTCACCACCCTTCGTCTTTCTTTTCGACCTAATCGCTCATGCACATGATGTGCAACTTACAATTATTCATACTCCACCGGGGGCTGATATTGCGTAGATATTATTTATCGCCTCATTCATTCGCCTCCACCGCACGCAGTTCACCCAGTCCGTTTCATTTGATTCCCGGCCAAATCGGCATCGACCAGGCACACCCTTAAATAATAACAATTTTCATTCGAATGTATATTATATATGAATATATATATATATATATATATATAATATCAAATAAAATAAAATAATGGTAAAAAATGCCCTTCTATCCCTTCCATCCGGTCTCGCTTGATGCATCCGCCCATCGAAGCGGCTAGTCGTTAGAAAATTTTATAGCGGCGCCGTAGCGTCTGTTCTTATTGTTATTTCCTATTCGATGTTCCATACCAAATATGAAAATATAGAAAAAACATTGGCATTTCTTTCACGCATCAATAATAACTATGTCGAAAAAATGGTAGTCGTTTTGCAACGAGTTTTTGAAGTAGTCGGTGAATGAATAGTATACACGTTTTCCATGTACACAATATGTAAGATGTTATTATACAATAACTGAAGATAATATTAAATATCCAAACCCAGGTTTAACTTTTCCGAGATTTGTTACATGCACTTTATTTAATCAAATTGTTTCAACCTGAAGAATTATTTACAATTTTCTCACGACGCTCGCATATCCTTGTCTTGCACATCAAGACGTCATTTTTCGTCTGTGTTTCATAATAATATCATAAGCATATTTAAACATTTTTAAAGGATGGCAGTATAGTAATGTAATAATTAAATACAGTATTATCATGAAAACACAAATAAATATTTAAGAGATTTATTTTCAAATTTATGGTTCAAAAAGTGAGAAAAAATACATCAACTATAGTTATACCAATCATTCTTATTAAATTACATTTAAATGTTGTCACAAAAAGAATCAATCGAGATAACCAACCACTCAAATCCCAAATACATTTTTCTTTAGTGTATTATTATAAAATATCCGTTTGATAAAAGTTACATTTTATGGGTACCAAGTTCAAGAACAATATTTATAAAATATTTGTCAAATCTACAATAAATCGTAGTATATAATTTTAAATTTTAAATTGAAAACACAAATTGTATTATATAATTCTCAACTACCCACCATTAAAGACCATAATATAAAAGTTGCAGAAAAATAAATTGTATAAAAGATGTTGTGTACTTACATTTTTGATTAATACAATATTTAATATATTTAAAAGCATATTTTAGTTCTATAGACAACAATAAAATTTTTATAAAATAATCAGAAGTAGGAAAATGATTTATAATTATGAACTTCTATCGTTTTAACAACTTATGCAAGGTATAGGTTCTAATATTGTTATTTATTTTTAATGATATTATTATTATTTATTTTAATGAAATATGGTCTGCCTAAAGCGCAGAGGTAGGTATTTACAAATAGTATGGTTTTAGTAGAAATAAGACGGAACTAGATAACAACATTACAATAAAAATGAAGTTTTTAATAGCTAGATTCATTAATCGGTCAAATATATTGTACTGAGTGTTTTTTATAGAAAGTTTAGGAATATAAAATGGAACAATTGAGCGGGTTTGGGTGTGAAAGAACACGAAAGTTTTTAAAGAATACAAGCGATGAGACATCAGTAGAGCCGTCAATATAATTCTGAAGGAACCTTATTTTGCTGTTTATTATTTTATTGACCTTAATTAATAGACCTAGCTCATGAAAAACTGAAAAATAGTCGTATAAGTGGCAAGGATATTAAATTTAAAACTAATTTTATATCATTGCTTATAAAAAATATTTTATACAGAGCATAGTTGCTGTTATTTTTTAAAAATATTTTGCAAGATCTTTTATAAATTTAAAAAGATTACTGAAAATAAAACAACCTTTTTAAAGTTCATTTAGATTCAATTTCCGATTTATAAAGTGTTATATGAAACTTGAAATTTAAAAAAAGCGTTTATAGAAAAAACAAAACAAAATCATAAAAAAAAAAATTACAGTTCTCAATTCAGACAGAATCTAACCATATTTTTTAAATATAATTAGAAAATTTTTCTTATTTTATAGATTATGCGTTTAACTATCTCATAAATTATTTGTCATCCTTAATTTCATATAAGAACAATTTTTTTTCTACTTTCTATACAAGTGATAATTACAAGATTTTAGTATAAAAAAAATTGATTTTATTTAAAATACGTTTATATCTTCAAAACTACGTTTTAATTTTAATTTTACCAACCATAGCAAATATGAGAATTTTTTTTCAAACCTAAAAATAATATTTAATATTGAACTGCTTGTCCTTACTCAATATTATATTTTCATTTACAAAGTTTTCTTTTTTTAAATTATAAATAATTTATTTTATTTTAAAGAATTTTGTTTTCAATACAGATGTGTGAAAAAAAGTTTTTTAATTAAATAAAATTATGTATTAGCAGTTAGCACTATAAAAGATTAATAAAAATATTAGTTTTGAACTTCCAATAAAATCAAAAATGTGAATAAAGTGTCTCCTACATCCTAAGAGGTAAAGGTTTTAGGAAGCCAAAGAAAGGATGCAATTTAAAATTATTGTACCTATAGATATTTTAGCTGGGAATTAGCAAGTGTCAACATTTCCATTGGTTTAAGATTATTAAAAATTGATTAATATAAAATATAATAAAATAATGCATTTGAAGGAAAGAATATATGTATAATGAATTTAATATGTAATACACTATTGTTCAAGTGAATTCAATAAAATTATACAGCTTTTAATAATGTACTGTACAACATACTATAAAATGTTATATGGATTGGCATAACAATATACATATATCCAAGAAGATAATTCAAAATTACTTTATTGTGCTAACCTAAATTATATACAATAAAATCTTATATTATTTTATTTGAAATAATAAACTTATTTCATTAGTTATAATTAAAATAGAAAACATCAAATTAATTATGCGTTAATACGATGTTTAGTTTTGTGTTAAAACTCATAATTGAAGTATTAGATTGAAAAAAAAAAAAAATCATTAAATAATAATATTTTTAAGTTTGGACAATTAAGTGATAAAATCGTAATACATAGAAAAATAATTATTGTTTATTATTATTGTGTTAATTAAATGGTATTTAAATAATCAAATACTTTGATTGAATATAATGCATAGTTAAATGTAAATATTCGAATATTTCAATGTGTAATTGTTTTTTATCAGATCTTTGATTATTGAACTATAAAATAGATAAATAAGTATAATATAATATATGGTAATATGTTTGAGATGATAAAAATATAGTACACTCTGTACTCTTAATGCGTTAAATGTGAGTGTGATGTGTATTTCATTATTTAAAATAAATGATTTAATCCATAGCATAATATTACAACATTTTTAAATTGACTGATTAAAAACGTAATCCTAGTTGAGGTGATGTTATTCTACACCAACGAACTCCTTTGTTTTTAATGTTTGGTAATTATATTATATCGTGTATGTAACTTTTACTTTTTAGATTTGGATTATTAAATATTAAGTTAAAATGTGGTCAATAAATGACACAACATTTTAAGAATTAAATAAATATGTATAACCAATACCGTATTCTAAAGTCTGAATGCTCCATTAAAAAAATACAATTTTGGAACGATTTCACTCAATTTCTCATTTCTATTTTATATCATATAACAGTACTGAATATGATACCTAGTAAATAATTGAAAAGTTTTAATATTATGACGATGAGTTTATTTTATTAATGTTGCATTAACTAGCAACCCGAATTTAATTTACTATATATACCTGTAATTTAATTCGTTCAAAACTAAACAAACATATATGTGACGAATTAATTATGTAAATAAATTTCATTACTCAAATATATTCAGCTATATACTATTACAATATACGGTAAAAAATCTATGAAAATAACTTACATGATATATGTGTATTTTGATTGCAATATCACTAATTATTTATTCATACTACAATAACTTATTTTTATAAACTAATTTTATTAAATGTACAAACGAATACATCGTATACACTTTTATACTTAATAATAAAGGTCGCTTCACGAATATAAAATTATGTTTACAATCTGACGTGATCAGATTAAATCCCGGGTTTTGATGAAAGTATTATTATTGCTACATATAACTAAAAAAACGTTATGTTACGAGTTGTACGATTTTAGAGCCTAAATTAGGGGGTAATTTTGATTGAAAAATCATGCAGATAATTATAAACTTTGATATAGATACTGAATCAAATTCTTAACGTTTTGATTTGAAAATAAAACGACTAAGTTTAAAACTCAAATACAATTTATTTTTGAAAACTGATCAAAATATAAAGCCAAATTTATTTAATTAAAGATCTCAAAAATTGAATCATGTATTCATGTCTTTATATTTTTCGACATAATTTACATAAATATATATATATATATATATATATAATAAGTATCATTCGTCAACTGAATAGCTTATTTCTCTTAAAATAAAGTTTTAGTTATTTAGTTAAGACTTAATAATAATATTATGTTAAAATCTTACTATTTGTCTATTTATATAGAATTCCTAAATCCAACGGCTTTGTTATTACTATAAACTTCTTTAGCATTAGTTTAATAAAATAATACTAAACAATTTAAGCATTGAATATCTTATACTTATCAGTATATATTTAAATTTAAAAGCTATATTATCCAGGAGATAATGACTATCTAGATGCAGCTGGTTGAAAAACACGTATTTTTTTACATATAACAATATTTAGAAACATAAAATATTCTCAATTTTTAATTCAATAATACAAATTTTCTATTTTAATGCAGAGAACACTGTTACATCATATTGTTCGCCATCAAATTAATACTTAAATTAAAAATCTAACAAATCAAAGCGTTGTGTAATAATATCTTATTATTGATATATTATATGTTATGTAACATAACTTATGTAGTTATATCTAGTCAGAGTATGCAATATAACAATTAATAATTTAATGTAAATAATATTTTTTAATATTATTATTTAAAAATATTTATCAATAGCAAGGTTAAAATTGTTTTTTGAATCTAAAATATTGTAATTTAAATTCATAGTTAAATATAAATATACCTTCCCAAGTGTCAC